AAATTATTAATCTAATGTATTTTCTCACATTGTCCATTTATTTATAAAGGCTGTACACATTTCATTGACTCCATTGTTTTTACCTAATTGCATCATTTTTTTAGATAAAGGTATAAATTCTGTGTCATTTCAGTAAAAAAATGTGGCTGATTATTTGTTGATAGGGCCATTTATTAAGCTTATCTAAATGTGATATGCTTGAAACTTGACAAGGTGTAGACATCTTGTAGAGCGAAAGGGCGGAGTTATCGGTGATTTAGTGAAATGCATTGTTTTGGGTTGAAAAAATAATGTTGATCATTAAATAGGTTAATGTTTGATAATATGCATTAACAAAAAAAATTGGTCGCCTGCCTGCGGCAGGCTTGACCAATTATTTTTGTTAATACATATTATTTAACACTAACCTATAAAAATGTGTCTTATTAATGTTTATATCAATGCTTATAAATAATCAGTTGAGCGAAAATGGTGCTTTACCGCAACATAGATTCTACAAAAATGACCAGTCGACTGCCAAACTTACCAATTTTTACGAACTGATATTACACAGATGTATGTCTTTGCGAAGGGCGGCCGTCCTATATAACAAAAAGATCTGGTCCACAATATGTTGGGCACAGGTGAGCCAGAAAAAATGTCTAAAAGTGTATATTTTTCGTAACTCTTGAGGTGTTGCGTGTTCACCATCAGTAGCTTCGTCAATGGAACATTATTTTCTCCCTCTCAGATTTATCCTGAAATAATTCACCATCTCCTTCTGTTGGTTTAAAATTTAATATTTATAATAGAATGCACAGATATGCAGTCTTGTCTCGAAGACTAGACAACTTGTTTCGGAAATTAGACTACACAGATGTGCAGACTTGTCAAGGAGATTAGACTACACAGACGTCCAGACTGGTCTAGGAGACTTGGCAAAACAACTGTGCAGACTGGTCAAGTAGATTAGACTACACAGACGTCCAGACTGGTTTAGAGGACTTGGCAACACAACTATGCAGACTGGTCAAGGAGATTAGACTACACAGACGTCCAGACTGGTCAATGAGATTGGACAGCACAGATGTGCAGACCGGTCTAGTAGACTTAGACTGGTCCCCTGTGCACTTCTTAAAATTACGACAGGAAACCTTAAGCGAAAGCTGTTATTTCATTGGTTAATCGATATATGTAAACAAATATGGCTGCCGGTGGCTGAAGAGCATTACAGAAATTTAGTAATATTTCTGTTATTTTAACTTTTTCGAGAGGTTGTACTTTCAAAACCGTAATATGTTAAATAAGTAAAGGCATAATAATAATGAATACATGAGAGGACTGTTTGTTTTAGCCTCTGTTGGGAATAATTCAATGTAATCAAAGCCATTGATTAAGATCCGTCCCATTAACGATTCGACCAATATAATTCAAAGATTATAATTATGAAATAAGATTATATTTCAAAATGTTTGTGGCTTATTTTCAAAATGGTTTAAATTTATAAAACATCAAGAAATCAGTGTTTTCTCCCTTTTTGACAAACATATATAGCACACAACTCTAGGGACAGTTTCCTGGAGGGAAATTTCATTTGACATTTTTTCTCCCCCTTATCAAAATTTAAATGTAATTTCCTATGGTTGTCAGTCATCATAAAAATGATATAAATATACATTACTTATAGGCAAGAAGAGTCTACTTCCTTGAACCTACCAGTATTTGTGTCATGATGAAGAAACATGGTTGTGACCCGATTAGTGCTCGAATTCATGATCCATAGGTTGAAAGGTAGACACCTTAACACCAGGGCACTGACCTTTCAAAAAATTAAATAAATAATTCAAGATTCAGCCAAAATAAGCAACAACAGGGAGGAACAAGTTTTTGATTATATGACATTCAAAATTTTGATTTGATATTGAATTACTGGTGATAAGGTACTTCCCCACAAGAAACTATTAACAATATGCCACAAAACAATTTGCCAGAGTTAAATATTGTTTCACCATTGTACGATTAAAGCAAAAATTTAGTTAAATTTACTCAAGGAATGAAATTTAAAATGGAAAATAAATATTAGGATTTCAGCAACAGTTTGAAAATGCCCCATTATGGATGTGAAAAAAGGTATTTAAACACATGGCGATTTGTTATGTGATGAATTTTTATTGTTGCGAATCGTAAAAGTGTCAAGTGGAAGATTGACATACAGACTATTTCATGTATTTGAAGCAGATTTTGCCAACTTCACTTTTTTTCGGAATGCACCAGCTTGCTTGAAGCCTTGTGAGCTATGACCGATAATATAATTCCATGCTATCATCAATAATGGTTTAGGATATTTATGTGCACATGAAACATATTGTTGAAATTTACTTAGAATTTATTGTAAACTTGATGTAAATATTTCTTACAATTTCAGATCTATAGAAAGGCAGTATTTATTGTATTCACTGTATTCATCATGTTAGGATAATGAAAAGCAACAAAAAATCGTCATATAGACTGTTAACATATTCTCCAATATTTTTTCCAACATATTAATACTCCTTTAAAGATTATGAATGTCAATGTCAATTTGTTGATACCACATCAGTTTTGTTGTTTTTTTTTTGTCAATTTTCAAAACAACCTTTTGCTTTCTTAAAGGAAGAAAATATATATGTATCCAAGATAAATCAGAAAAAGGGGAAAAATATGAAATCAAATTCCAACAACTATGAATGGAATTCACCTACACATTTAATTAAATTATCAATTCAATTTAACATATATGGCATAGGCTATCTTTAACAACTTTCTTTCAATTAATTTTATCAACTAGCTGATAATCATATAATCAGCTGCTGTTACGTCATAGTTTTGGTGAATAATGTGCACAGGGCATCTCAGTTGAAAAATAGCATTTTGAGGAAGAAGTCTTTTTTTTGGCTGTAAAATATAGGAAAATAATCACTGCACATAAGTAAGGTAGTAAACAAATACCATCCAAATACTTTAATTGTATCTTTTTTATCATGTTAATATTGTTTCTGTAACTTTGTAGAAATATTAATAGTTTTCTATAAACATTGTGGCTGATACTATGTATCCTATAGTTTAATTGGTAAAACACCTCAAGTTTATTGAAAACGCATGCAAACTTAGAGGAGTTCTGAGTTCAAATCTCAGTAGGAGCAAGGATATTGAGTATAAAATTAAATCTGTAAAAGGATAAACATAGAATTATAAATGTAAAATTTTCAATTTACCTTTAGACCAATGTTTTAATGAACTTCAGAAATAATTGCTAGTAAAATTTTGATAGAATGGCTATGTGAACTACCATATTTGGAATATTTATTTATTTATTGTTTTTGTATATGTTCCTAATGTTAAAGAGCTTAAAATATAGGTTAAGAATGGGGTGTAAGTAATAGGGAATAGATGGTCTACAGAATTTTATTTTATACGGGGAAGTCAAGGGCCTTTGGGCTTTGGCTTGTCCAGCTATAGACTACACATGTATATTTAAAAGGAAATCAAATAAAAACAATTAAAAAATATTTAGAATTCTCTTGTTTGTTTGTTTCATTTTACGCCTTTTCCCAACAGTATTTCAGTCATATAGGCGGGTAGTTTCCTAACCATCGTTCCTGGAGAGTTACACCAGTACTAGACTACCTTCCTCCGTGCTAAACTACCAAAGCATCTCCCGGGGATCGAACCTAACCCCTCGACCACGGAGGCGGTCTAACTATCAATAAAATTTTCAATGTCAGTTTTAATAGGGTGACACTCTAGTAAATGTAACTCAATGATAATAGGCTGGGTTATCCGATAATGGAACAAGATCAATAATAACATCGAATGTTCCGAGTGAAAACGGAAGTGGTGCATGAAATACCAAATGGGAAAATGAACATTTTTTTAACCGACTTCCCCGTCCATAGGCTTTGCCTGATTTCATATTTTATAAGTCAAATTAAGTTTCGTAAGAAATAATGCTCTTTTTTTAATAACTCCAAACTTTTTACATGGATTCCTTGCCATTGAAATTCTACAAGTTGACCTGTGCTTTTCTTACATCTTAATGATTTTTAAACAACTTATTTGTTTTTCGTTTACTTTTCATGCCTTTCAGATTTTAAACATGTGTTTGATCATATAATCTGTCATTTGTGAAAACAGTTCAATTTTTCTAAGGTGTTGAAACAGTTGTTTTTTTTTTTTTTGTCGCTATATGGATTGTTTCTTCTGAAAGGCTATTATACCAGCCAATGGTGAAAATGTTTTGGAGGGGAGGGGGTGCCCGTGGTAGAATTAACCATCTCTGCATTGATGCTACATGCATATGAATGTCACATTTTATATACATTTATTCTTGTTTGGTTATATTCCGTCACTGACAGTGGTATGTATGGCAAGTTAACCATTTTTCACAATTTGTGTATCATAATTATGACATAAAGAATTACTTCACTGAATCGAAGTTAATTATTGTTGTCGTTGTGGCGTTCTATTTTTACTGTGGAAACCCAGACGCGGTTTAATTGGCTACTTTAATCTAGGACATTATCTGATTGGATAAGACTAACAGGTGCTCGACTGGTTTTAATTTTGCGTTCATTATCTCTTTGTTTGGAATATATTATTTACGACGCAGTCCATTGGACAGAAATCTGTCCAATACGCTTGGGGGTTTCCTGATCCCATTATGTGCAGCCATGTTGTATGGGAACCATAATAGGACAGGGAACAAGATTAAAGTAGACCGGGCAACACAGATGTGCAGACTGGTCTAGGAGACTAGGTAACACATATTTGCAGACTGTTCATGGAGATTAAACTACACAGACGTGCAAACTGGCCTAGGAGGCTGGGCAACACAGATATGCAGACTGGTCTAGGAAATTAAACTACATAGATGTGCAGACTGGTCTAGGAGATTAGACAACACAACTGTACAGACTGGTCTAGCAGATTAGACTTCACAGACGTGCAGACTGGTCTAGGAGATTTGACAACACATATGTGCAGACTGGTCTAGGAGATTTAACAACACATATGTGCAGACTGGTCTAGGAGATTTGACAACACATATGTGCAGACTGGTCTATAAGACTGGCAAACACATATGTGCAGACTGGTCTATGAGACTGGACAACACATATTTGCAGTCGGGTCAGGCACTATACTGATGCCGGTGGTAAAGGCTATAGGTTTTCTGTTCGAGTAGAAATCACACAATCATTTGACACCTTTGTAAGATTTAAAGACTAATATTTTAATGATAACTAATCTATGATATCCAACATTCATTAATATAAAAACTACACGACAGATCAACATATGAAATATAGCAACAGTACAATTAATATATACATGTAAAATAGAAAAAGAATATTCTTTTCCGGACTTGAGCATAGCTCCTCCTCCACAAAAATAATGATCATAATAATAATCAAAACGCAAAGTCAGCAGATCTTACATGTAAGATAGCCCATACAGTACATGTATGTAGCATGTTCTGTGAAAAATTATTAAACAGAGACAAACAAAAAGATTTTGTAACACTTTCCTGTTTTTAATGTAACAATTATATTGTCTCCTTTTCTTACATCGTCATTTTTATAGTGAGCCATTTTTGAAACTTTGCTGCTATGACGACATTTACTTTATTATTATAGGCACGATCATTCCAGGTGCAGGCTGTGACTGAAATTGTCGGATTTTTCTATTAACTTTCCTGACTTGTCCAGTTTTGTAGTCGTTCGCTTTCCCTATTCCAACAAGGGACGTTATCATACTTTTGATAGCTTTCTAGAAGGTCAGACACTCACATTGATATTTCCATAGACTTACATTATAAGAAATGGTCCCTAATCCTACTTTAAAATTGAGTTTTCATGCTAAAGAGTTATTTTTTCTAGCAGAATGAAATGCATGACACATAAAAATGTTCCTGTCATATAGGGGTAGCCAACCAAATTTTTTGCAAAATGACTTCAAAGAGGATTACCCCCCATTTTATTGAAATTTTCTGCTGATCACAGGACTGACATACATTTTTTTTCAATGCAAATATCCAAGTCAAAATTAACACAGAGACTCGTGAAATATTTCATTTTCTTCAGAAAACAATGTAGTGTTACTTTTTAAATTAGTTTTTATACTTAAAAATACCCCACTTTCATTCAATCACCTCATGTATTCATTGAATCATACGGTTTTCCCTGCACTTTTTTTCAGCCAATCGCTGGCCATGTTACAATGCGAAACCCTGACCTAAAGGGAATATTAAATGTTTAGTATTGTAATATCTTGAATAAATGAAGTTGCATATACAATTACCATTTATATGGATGCATTTTCACCACTCTTAAGTCATTTAAAACTTTGAAGTTCCCTTTTTTCTAACAAGCGCCGTTATGCCGCATTCCGGATATTCTGAAAATGAATGCTAGCATGTGATTTTCATACATAATTCATTATTCTGAAGCCAATTTTGTAACAACTTCCATAAAATCACTCAGATAGCAAAACTACACTGTTCTCATTACAGAAGTGCTTCAAAATACTAATTTTGTAACAAAAGGATGTAGCAGGGAGCAATTTTATCACCCCAAACATAACAAAATAAGTGATTTTTCACCCATATTTCAACATATTATTACCAATAGACTTCCTGAATGAAGATTTAGCTAAGCAAACATACTTAATAACAACTGTATAGTGACCTGATTATGGATTACACATTATTTGTACACACTTTGCAAAATTTTGGGTGTAACTAGGTATTTAAAACCGCCCCTGCTTTATTTTTCTACTCCAATTAGTTGCTTATATAGTCTTGAATACAAGCCTAAATGTCAATTAAATACCAGAATTCGTAATATATATTTTTTCTCTCTCTTACATGGATATAAAAATGCAATATATGGAAAAACCAAGATCCTCTGGACTTAACAGCACTGTAATAGCCTAAAATTTGACTTCTACAACCATTTTTTCGCCATTTTTGCATTCATTTGGAGCCATATGTGACAATTGAAACCTTCTTTCAGGTGTTTTACCATGTAAATCACCTCTTCAGACCAAAATGTACTTGAAATGGAAAGTATTGTGTATTTTCTTCTCATTTAGGTAGCAAGAAACTAGAATTAATGCACTTATCTAAGTTTCTCAATAAATAATGGGAGGTAATTCACTGAAGTTGTGCATAATCACACCCTTTGTGTACATTTGTCTACCAGAATAAGTGCTTTTTTGTTTATAGACACATCAGAGACACTAAAGCTGTGTTATAATTGTGCCTAATATAATTGTGAAAAAAAAGATCAACTTTTACTTATCAATAAAACTTTTTCTACAAAATAATTCTACCCTTGGCCATTATGATGCTCATTCAATTATGCACTTAACAGACATAAAGTCTAAAAACTATGGCATTATACATTGTGAGTGTGTAAATATGTATTACCAAATAAAAAACAATAAATTCTTATCACTATTTTGCATCTTTACCATATAATAAGAGGCTATTCAGAGGCAACCTAACTGAATTATGCTACAATATTCAATGAATTTCAATTTCTAAGTAATAATGTGTTTATATTCATGCCCTGAAACCAAGTAAATTTTAAGACAGAAGCCTTAAAATGCTATTTATTTGAAGCTTTTATGCTATCTATGCCTGTAAATGAAACACAAAACATTCTTATATGGGAAACAGACATAGAAGCAATTCATTTGTGACATTCTATGTAAATATTTGAGCAAAATGGAAAAGAATTAGTGCCGAGCGAAGAAATGTCCGCCCCTAAATAAAGTCGAAAAGTTAACTGAAACAGCACCCTAGACTATTTTAAGTATTAATATATAAGTTTTGAACCTGACAATATGCTTTTGTAGTGATATACCTGCAACACCCATCAAAAGTGGCCAATGTGCTTACATCAGGTCCTGTCAAGTTATACATGAATTCAGTCTTCAAACCTGGCATGTGTATAGCCAATGTACAGCATTTCTTTGAAATCTGAAAAATATTTTCAATGACCAAGGTCTACATTAGTCCTCATCAACATATCACCAATTGATCATCACTCAAATCAATGTTTAAAGAAAATATAAGTCATAATTAACTTTTAAGTAACACTAATACTCTTGTTCATATGTAAACAATGCTTGTAGATTGACCCCCTTGACACATTATCTGCTGTTAACATCAACAGTTGCATTGAAATAATGAAATTTCATACCTAGACAGGCTGTAAACATCCATTCTTCAAAAATATCAGCTTTTCATGGTGTAATCAATGAAGACAAAGTACTATAAATGAATTATGACAGTTCCAATATCCCTCTCTTTAAAGGGAATATTAAATGTTTAGTATTCTAATATCTTATAATAAATGAAGTTGCATATACAATTACCAATTATATGGATGCATTTTCACCACTCCTAAGTCATTTAAAACTTTGAAGTTCCCTTTTTTCTAACAAGCGCCATTATGCCGCATTCCGGATATTCTGAAAATGAATATTAGCATGTGATTTTCATACATAATTCATTATTTTGAAGCCAATTTTGTAACAATTTCCATAAAATCACTCAGATAGCAAAACTACACTGTTCTCATTACAGAAGTGCTTCAAAATACTAATTTTTTAACAAAAGGATGTAGCAGGGAGCAATTTTATCACCCCACCCATAACAAAATAAGTGATTTTCCACCCATATTTCAACATATTATTACCAATAGACTTCCTGAATGAAGATTTAGCTAAGCAAACATACTTAATAACAACTGTATAGTGACCTGATTATGGATTACACATTATTTGTACACACTTTGCAACATTTTGGGTGTAAAAAGGTATTTTAAACTGCCCCTGCTTTATTTTTCTACTCCAATTAGCTGCTTATATAGTCTTGAATACAAGCCTAAATGTCAATAAAATGCCAAAATTCTTAATATATATTTTTTTCTCTCTTACATGGATATAAAAAAATGCAATATATGGAAAAACCAAGATCCTCTGGACTTAACAGCCTAAAATTTGACAATTGAAACCTTCTTTCAGGTGTTTTACCATGTAAATCACCTCTTCAGACCAAAATGTACTTGGAATGGATAGTATTGTGTATTTTCTTCTCATTTAGGTAGCCAGAAACTAGAATTTATGCACTTATCTAAGTTTCTCAATAAATAAAGGGAGGTAATTCACTGAAGTTGTGCATAATCACACCCTTTGTGTACATTTGTCTACCAGAATAAGTGCTTTTTTGTTTATAGACACATCAGAGACACTAAAGCTGTGTTATAATTGTGCCTAATATGATTGTGAAAAAGTAGATCAACTTTTACTTATCAATAAATTTTTTCTACAAAATAATTCTACCCTTGGCCATTATGATGCTCATTCAATTATGCACTAAACAGACATAAAGTCTAAAAACTATGGCATTATACATTGTGAGTGTGTAAATATGTATAACCAAATAAAAAACAATAAATTCTTATCCCTATTTTGCATATTTTCCATATAATAAGAGGCTATTCAGAGGCAACCTAACTGAATTTTGCTACATTTTTCAATTGATTTCAATTTCTAAGTATGTGTTAATTTTAAACCTTTTATTAAAGCCTTTAATAAATGAACCAATCATATTCAGTCCAAAAGTTCATAAATATCATGTCATCTAATCGTAGAGCTAGTATTGTAAAAAATGCAAAGTTTATACCGAAAGCTTATAAATATAGAAATTTAACCCTTGAAAATAATGCTACTTCTTTGATTTGTTTTCTTTGTGAGTTTAATTTTTCTTAATGTTTGATGTTTTGTGATTATTTATTATTCAAAGATGAAATGTGCAGTTATTTGTGTAATGTTTATGTAAACTGTATGTCTTGGTCATATTTATTATGTGCATTAAAAATAATAATATCGGTCTTAGCGGTGTTTATCGGCTATTTAACACCGGTTTTGTCGTTTTGATGCGAAAACTTAATTTTAAAATTCAATTCCTACGCATCAAAACTCCAGACCGATATTATTTCGATTCTAACAAGATAAAATAAGAAAGATCACTAATGTTATTTTTTCAAGCGAAAATAACTCCCGTTGCCGATTTTTGTATAACGCTGTTTTGATGCGAAAAAATTAACCACGACGGCCTTCAAGGTCAATAAATTGCCGATAAACACCACTCAGACCGATATTATTTCTTAAATATAAACGGCCTCTTTAAAATTGACAAAATACTCGTCAAAATATTTAGGCTGCTTTTCGCAAATGACGGTGTTTCATTTGCACATACGCCATTGTAACTTCCATCTAAGTTAAATGATTAACAAGTATGTTGTCAAACCTGGGGACTTAAAGTAATTACTAATAAACCAAAATACATTTTAAATGAAATAGAAATGTCAAACATATGGATTAATCAAGAACATATAACAATCAATTTAATTTTCAGCAAATTTAGAACGGAGTACTGAACATTTACAAGCAAGAATGATATAGCAGTATTAGAAACTCTGTCGTCATACAGTATCTATAAACGCTCATTCGAAACTGAAGAATATCTTTATAAAGTTAACATTAACAAATTTTGAATATCATTTACAAAATTTAGATTGTCAATCCATAATCTAGCAAAAGAAACAGGTCGATACGAAAACGTAGCACCAGAAAACAGACTCTGTACGAATTGCAATTTGAACGTGGTAGGAAATGAATTTCACTTTTTGCTAGTTTGTACAAAATACTATAGCAAATATTTAAAACCATACTATTGTCGCTGGCTATCAATTCATAAATTGGAAACACTAATGTCTACAACAAACACGCAAAATGTTGGGTAACCTGTCAAAATTTTTGTATTTTTCATTAACAGAAAGAATGAAGAACAGTGTTAGTATCTTCAATTTATTCAAGTTTTGAAGCACCCAAGAACTTTCTCTGTAAAACATTTCAACTTTGTTAAGGTCATTATACATGTATTATGTATATTGCTTTTCCATTTCATGATTGTTAATTGTGTTGGCTATAAATGTGTACTGTTTTTAATGTGAAATGTTATTTTATTATTGTCTTTAACTTTTCACAATTTTTATGGCACTTTGGATTAACAATTCAATTAATTTAAGTCGGTAAAAGATTATCACTATTGTTTTCATCTAAAAATAATGATATCTCATTTTATTTTAACTACCATGGGTAGCCATTTTTTATTTGAAAGCAAAGAAGAGTGATTTATTTATTATATTGATCAACCCCGCTTCAAAACTATGGTTCTGAAATATGGGGCATTCAGTTTAAAACATTAAATGAACTCACTTATTCTATATAACAGGAAATAAGAAAATTAAAAATATCTAATTACCTTAATCATTTGAACTTTTGATTCAAGAAATAATTAAATTAAAAAAATACTGTATTTTGTAAATTTTATTTATTTATTTATTTATTTATAATATTCTAATATGTTTGATTTTCCTCCATTTCTTTAATATATGACTGATTAAGATAAAGTACTATATGAATAGATATTGAATAAAATTGAATAAATAAAAAAGTAAATAAGTAATCATTTAAAATTAAATTAAAGTATCAAAATGAAAAGGCATTTATGCGTTTGTATTTTATTTACTTTTTATTGTTTGTGCTTTTAATTTGAAATATTGCATAATTAAATTTATTTCTTTATTAACATTAATTCATGTGAATGTGTTTGAACTATAAATGCAGTTAAAACTAATGAGTGGAATGAATTTTTGTTTCATAGTTATAGATTTATTTTTGATATTTATGTTTTATTAATTGGACAAAATAAGTATCGCTAAGTAAACAAATCGATGTATTAATAAAAAGACGACATGAAAACAGAATATAAAGATCCTCAACATAATATTCAAAAGCAATTTTAGATGTATTTCACAATGATTATGCGAATGCGCCATTTGCATGGTCATAAGCTTGAAAAATACTTTATTAAGGTAAAGAATTTACAATATGATTGAATATGGTAAAATATGCAAGAAAAAAATCTGACATATGTTTGCGGTTCGGATCTTATGATATTAGTTCTATAGACAATATACTATATGAGTATTTTCAAGTTAGTATTGATGTATTAGTACGTCCTATTCAGTTGTTATTTAATTATATCTTAGAGCAGGGTAAATTTCAACCTAGTTGGTCAAAGGGGGTTATAATACCACTATATAAGAAAGGTGACTCAAGTGACCCAAATAATTACAGAGGTATTACCCTTATCAGTTGTTTTGCGAAACTATTTACTGCTATTTTGAATCAAAGTCAAAGTCAAAATTTTATTTGCAATTCGGCAGATATCTGCCTTTGGCAATACAAACATAAATATACATATGGCAAACACACAATAATAAATCTAACAAAAGCAAACATACATTGAATGAACATTATACATAACAATGCATATATTGTGTTAAGATTATTTTTAGTATATCGACAATTTAATACCAATCATAGCAAAGATCTAAGATTGTTTTAATATTTATTTTATAATTGTTCCTTTCTTCTATCAAATGCATCTCTTAAGAATTTGCTTAAATGATATAGATTTTTTCTTTTAGAATTTGTCATTAATCTAGAAAATTTATTAAGATTTGGAAAAGTGTGTGGCAATTTGTATTTGATTCTTAAATCTCTATATAATGGACAGCATAAAAGAAAATGATACTCCGATTCAACAGCTTGCTGAGAACAAAATTTACATAATCTCTCATTTCTTTCAACCCCTATATATCTTCCAGTTTCGATTTCTAATGTATGAGAGCTTAACCTAAAAATTGAAAGTTGTCTCCTTAATTTACTATTATCAACAATATTAAGATAATCTTCAAAACAAAAATCATTTTTATACATTCTATAGTAATCGAGTTTTGGCATTAATTCAATCGATTCGTGCCATTTCTGCACAAATTGATCTCTCAAACGTTGTTTGAATAATACAATATAGTTACAATTATTTTCATAATTCTCTATACAATTTGAAAACCCTAAGTTATTAATTATATTGTGAATTCTTTTAGCCCAAGAAGATCCTCTAAAGTTATGTACTTGATCACTATATACACTAAACAGTTCTGGTAGAGACTGTTTCTTTATTTTTATCCAATATTTTAATGCTCTTTCTTGACATAAAACTGTTAAAGGGAATCTACCAAGTTCTCCGAGTACTGCGTTGTTCGGAGTTTGTTTTTTAACACCTAAAATGTTTTTACAAAACTTAATATGTAATTTGTCAACTTCTTTGCAATCAAAAGCGCCCCAGATCTCTGAACCATACAGTAATATTGGTACTACCATACTATCAAAAAAGTTTTAATTTTTTTTATATCAAATTTAACTCTATCAAATAAAGATAAAAGATTATGATATGCCTTTAAAGCTTGTTCAGACAGAGCCTTAATGGCTACTTTAAGATCACCTGTATATGAAAATTTTACTCCCAAGTAGGTGAAAGTATCTACATATTCAATAGTTTCATCATTAATCGTAATATTAACATGTGTGGTAGATTTTCGCTTTTCAAAAACACATACTTTAGTTTTAGCAACATTGATTTTCAGACCCCACTTACAGGAATATCTCGAGATTGAGTTAACTTGAGATTGTAGACTATTTATATCTGTTGTAAACAAAACAATATCATCTGCAAATAACAACATGTATTTAGATAACAATTCAATATCTTTTGTTGACATTTGTTCAATATCAATACACTGTTCAATATCATTTATAAATAGAATATAAAGCAATGGTGATAATGGTTCTTCTTGTTTTAAGCCAATGGTTACATCGAAAAAATCAGTCAATTTTGTATTCACTTTTAGACAAGATTGTACAGATGCATATATTGACTTTATAATATTTAAAATTTTACAACTTATACCGCAATCTATCAGTTTCATCCAAAGTAAGTCTCTATTGACTGTATCAAATGCTTTTTCGTAATCTATAAATAAACAATACAATTTTTCATTTTTGTTTAAGATTTTTTTTG